GAGAGAGAGAGAGGAAATGATTGAAAGGGATAAAACAAGAATAGCAGCAATTTTTTTTTCTTTTATGATAAAGGAATAGAAATAGAAAAAAAGAAGAAGAAGAAACTAATTACATATGATAAAAAAAAAAAAATTGAAGTATCCAATGTTTCCCATTACAATGTTTAAAAATTAAAAAAAAATATTTTAAATAATTTTAATTTTAATTAAAAAATAATAATGTTCTTGAGTAATAAAATTTTAATTTTATATAAATCAAAATTAATAACATTTAATCACGCTTGAATTTGTTTTTTTATTTTTTAATTTTTTTGCTTTTACATTCATTCGCTCGTTTGAGCCTCGAATAGATACTGACACTTATAAATTGATTATATATTCATGTAGTGACAAATAAGTTGATCCCGCATCACTTGCATCACATCAAGTGCATGTCTCAAGAAGAAACACACGCACAAACTCTACATATAACCAGAACACCACCATAATTCAAAAAAGGACCAACTTGTTCAACATCTACTCTGGATGCTTACTAGAGAATTACAAGCAAGTAACGCAAACAAGCATTCCAAGTCTGAGACACACACTGTAACTGCAAAGCTATCAATTGACGATCTGGTTTGATGGAGGGGGATAAAATGACCAAAAATCTACCTACCATAGCCATTTGGGCGACGCCCATAGCCTGCAGCTCTCTCTGGGCTTCTGTATGCATAATAAGGTGACCTGGATTGTTCTCTTCTGGACCTACCACCATATGGTGACCTCCGTGGGGAGCCGCCGCCCCAGTAAGGAGAGTGTTTTGGAGATCTGCGATAGCCACCACCACCACCACCACCACCATAGTCATCGCGGCTGTAGCCTCCATAGTATCTTCCACGATCGCTTCGATAACCTGCACAGGGGGCAACTCATGAGCAAATCACCTATAAATGGTTGGTACATCAGTTACATGGGAGAGGGAGGGAACTCACTGTCTCGTGTGCTGACCACACCAAGGTACTTTCCCGGCGTAGGTGTTCGTGGGCGTCCCCTCCTTGACTGAAAAGAAACAAGACATGTGGTATATCTTCAAATTTCCCCTCTCCCGAACAGAGCACATCATCATAAACAGAAAGAGACCAGTACAACTTATGCTGCTAAGAACCACAAAACAGAAAAAGACAAGTATGGAAGCCTCATTGCCAAATGGAAAAAATCTACTGAAACATTTAAGACTAAGAGACCACAAATACAAAAGCATGACAAGCAGCCTTAGTTGAATGCTACAAATAAGATACCATTACGTCCGACTATGAGTTGGTAATGTCCGTTGATTAGTTGTGCGAGTTGAAGATGATTCGGATGTTGTTTAGTTGGAAATTTGTGATTTGTTAAGTTGATCTGATGCATGGAAAACTGTTAGGCTGGCCATTCATCAAGCTGTATTGAGTTAAGTTGATATTGATGAACTCATCATCTTTGATTGCTGCCAACATATCTGACCGCAATGTCTTCTGAAGGTAACCAAAAACCTCAAAGTTAAATAGAGACAAAGCAAACATGCCAAAGTTTAAAGAACATAGAGGCAGCATTGCCAAAATATGCACAATGGTCAATATATCTATGAGGCAATCATACCTTCTCCACCGTTATACATCTTCCTTCCAGGATTGACTGATTGAGATACTTGATACAACGGTCTGCATCTTCCGTGGTGTCCATGGTCACAAATGCAAAACCACGAGAGGCACGTGTGCGAGGTTCAACAACTAGGTGACATCCAACAACCTAACAAACAAAAATTGATTAAGACAACTATACACCTACAAAAAGAATGTACAGCACAAACCAACCTTTCCTTCCCTGGAGAAGTGATCCTCCAAGTCCCTTTCTGTAACCCTGGATGAAAGTCCTGTTACATAAAGAGTATTTCCATGATTCGCCGTTTCATTCCTACCATTACAAAATGAAAAGAAAATTAGAACATCAAACATCATATTTAACAAATTACCAGAATTAGCAAATCAAAAGGGAGAGAAAAAGGACCTGTCATGACTTCTGGACCGTGACCTTGTGTGGTTTCTAGGCCGAGGAGACTGAGATCTGGAGTGGGACAAACCCATGGACCGAGACCTTGTTTTAGAGCCACCCTTGTATGGAGATGGGGACCGTGAGTACCTGGAAAGGTACCAGATAAGCAAAACTTCACCATTGTATCAACTGAAAAAAGCTAAAAACATTTCAGTATCCACATACTTTAAAGGAATGTTTGCTCTGTTAGTAGTTGATATGCAACACACGAAAAGGTATTAAAACTGCAAAAGGGTAACCACAAAGCATCATGTCCAATTTCAGTCAAAGAGTCTGATGCAGCAAGGCATCAGGTCCCAGCCACCTGGCTCAGCTAGTTGAATGGTCTAGATGACTATCACAATGAAGGCTTGTAAATGTTCATTATATCAAAACCCATAACTAAGAATAGACAGAGGACAGTTGATAGCTGAGCCAAAAGGCATAGCTAGCGGAAATATTCATTCCCAGAAAGGTAAGATAAATAAGTCAACTATGATGCATATCAAGTAATTTGATAGTTAAACTAATAAAATAAATAAGCCAACATTATGCAGTATCAACTATCAAATAAGAAGCCATGTTTAATAATTGCAGGTAATAGATATAGACGTGAAGTGTACTAGTCGCTTTAATGTTAGTTTCGGTGTGTGATTACCAATCTTTATTCTTCATTCACAAGAATGACTGATATAATTGATTTCTTTTTTGCTGAGGTGGAGTAGCATCTCATGGCAACATAATGCGAGGCATTATGTTCTTCATGAACTCATGTTCATCAAACCAGGGACCAATCAATACAATGGTCAAAACGGGCCAGACCAAGATGAACAAGTTGGAAGCAGTAACAACACATACGATACCAAATATTGGTTATCAAAGATGCCAGAAATGTCTCTCTAATGTTCACATGTGGATCATAATCACTTCTATAGCCTTTCGTTTCTTTTCAACAGAACTTTACACAGACCAACTCTGAAATTTTCAAAAACCATAGAGGCTCAATTGTTTTAGTAAAATAACATGGATTGAAACCACAAATCCACATGTTGCCGGGCTTTTTATGTGTTAGTCTTTTGTTTGTCTAAACCCCATGTGGCATGCAGGACCTATTCACATCATGAAATGATGAAGAATATCCTGGCCAAGGATCAGCTTCCAAGAGATGAATGATCATTCAGTGTTAGCCACTTACTAGTCGTTATACCATAAGCAAGTCAAATCATCTACAGGAAGGAATCATATACAAGAATCAAAACAGTGAAGTATGATGGCTATAGAAGTCATGGTGATGCAATGCTCATTGGCAGAGTTTAGAACAGATAATCTAGCTGAAATCGCAAACCCTTGACAATTGGTATAAAGTTTAAGATACAGAATGACTGGTGATGGAATCTAATTGCGCAGTCGTATGAATCTACCTCATGCTTCACAAATAAAGCCCACAAAGCTCAACTCCAAGGTAACAATAGTCTGAGAATCAAATTAATCAAAAAAGTCTGCAACCCACTAAACTATCATAACTTCTCAGCAAGAAAACATTAGAACTTTAAAAATGCTACTCTAAAAACTTATACCTATCAAATTAAACGAACTAAATGTAGGCATTTGACAACTTATAGGATAAAGTATCAACTTTGACGCGTTTGAGTCAGAATGATATAAGATCTGGCTTTTCAAATGCTTCCAATAATAATCTCTCAATAGATGAACTTTGTATGTAAAAAAAATTAATATTTGGTGCCTACAATTGTAGGGGGAAGTAAAAGGTCTTTAACCAAATGTAACGAGATTAATGACACAATACCGCAAAGTAATTTCTAATAGAAAAGGGCATTAAAATAAACAAAATAGGGCATCAGAAAAGGAAAATTATTCGTGGGAAAGGTTGATCTCGGCAGATGGACTTACCTCCTGCGTGGAGAATCCGCCTGCAAATGAACAAAATCATAGAGGGGAAACGATAAGCAAAGGGAAAAGCCCAGAGAGAGAGAGAGAGAGAGAGAGAGAGAGAGAGAGCGCGCACCATGTCGCGGGTCGGAAGCGACGAACGGGGGAAGCCCTTGTGAGCCGGCTAGGGTTTTCTGGCTTGTTTCTGAGAGGAGGAGGCCGAGGGTGGGGCGTTTATATAGAACGGACTATTGCAAGGCTGGTTTCCACTTTAACGTGCATCGGATCCAAATCCATGACAAAATCGGATCCGAGTCCGAGTCCGAGTCCGAGTCCGAGTCCTGTCCGAGTTGTTTAGCCCGATTAAATCGATCGTATCACAACTGGCAAATATTGACGTGTACAAATCTTCGTTCGGGTCCCACCACGTGGAAGCCACGTGACCTCGTAAACAATCAGGGGTGACTGAGTTTGCTGCTGCTTTCTTAACCCCAATAAAAGACAAACTCGTTGATTCCGCTTTGGATGTCTCTGTCGAACGGTGACCGGCGCGGCATCGGCAGCGATCCACTCGTCGACGATCCCCCCGTCGTTCCCTGGTCGCAAGGGAACACCCCCTCGACTCGCACTAAGAGTAAGTACAATCTTCTTCGTCGTCTTCATTTTCGATCTCCTACTCTTCAGATGGAGAAGATGAGGCCGACTAGTTCTTTGGATGTGCTAACTGGTGATTCCTTGGTAGGAAACCCGACATTGGAGTTCTTTTATGATATTGTATTATACTTATCAACGCAGTAAAAAGTTGATATATTAATTATAATAATCTATTATTGATTGTAGATAAAAAATTTAATAGAGATAAATACTATAAAGATTCAATATATGGATCCATAGTAAAACTATCATCATAAAAATTGAGTGATTTAGTGAAAAAAAATGGAGTGATTTAGTGAAAAAAAAACTATCATCTTTATAAAATTTTTATCTATAATGATAATATCAACCATATAAATTAGTATATATAGTTCGTTTTCTTTGTTATTGTAGGAATAAAGACTATTGGATATAGAGTTGATAAAGTCAATTGACAATAAAAAATAATCCAAGTATAGTAGGCTCTTCGAGCTTGGCAAAATCAATAAATAGTTAAGGGATGGATGCATAAAGATATATATTTAGTTAATGTCTTTTTCAAAAAAAATATTGTTAATATCTTATTGGCATACATACCAACTTTGAGTGATAGTCATACTCTGGATAAATCAAATTATCATTGGTTTAATGATTAGACCGAAGGTATTTGTAAAATCAATACCTAGTCGTTGGTGAAATCCTTTGGCCATTATATGTGCTTTATATCTAGTAATATATTCATTTGGTTTCTCTTAATTCGAAAGATCTATTTACACTCGATGACATTTTGTGCGATGTAAGATAATATAAAAGTTTATGATATTGTAGAGTATAATATTTTATTCCTTACATATGTTTTTGTGTTAATATAGAGATTTTTGGGTCTGAGTAATACTTATGGGTTCAAAAGGGTTAGGCAAAGAATTTATAACAATGCGAAGATCAAAGATTGAATGTGTTATTTTTTGATTATATTATCGTATGATGTTTAAACTTAGTAGTATGATTAGGTTGTGTTGATAGTATGTAAATTGATGAAGAGTTAGCGACATGTACCTATGTTGGGAAAAATTATTATAGTGAAATAATTCTTTTCCCTTTTTTATATTAAAATGAGTTCCTAATCAAAATACCAACTTGTTATCAAAAATAAATATTAACCAGAGTAGCATAAATAGTAAAATAATAAATTAATCACAAAGTGAGACATTAAAATTTTTACGTAAAAAACCTAATACGGGAAAAACCATGGGACCATAGTCCACTTCAAACTTCCACTATCACTAATAATGATAACAGGTTTATAGTAACTCCTCCAGAATAACCAAAGAATCACAGTAATATCAAGAACACAGATCTTGGTTCAACATTAACATATCATCACCACTAAAGATAAATTTAATGAAAAGAAAATCTTAGGTATCACAAAATTTGTATAATATGAAAGTACTTTAGAGAGGATAAACTATAGATCGATACCGTTAAGATTGTAGAGCTTACTACAAGGATTCTTCACATAAAATTTGAGCCGAAACCAACGAAGTTTAGCTGCTTGATCATCAACCAAAAGTCCTAAAACTTTAATTTTTTTTTCTTTTTCTCTATGTTCCTTTTCTCAGCGTCAATCACTAATCACTGTTCGTTGCATGCATGCCTTCACTGCCCTCCTTAAGTTATGCACACCACTTCCTTTTTTTATTTTTTTAATAAATCAGATTTGGGCTTAATGCTTAAATCATCTAGTCCAAGCTCACATATGGGCTGGACCCAACAATTCTCTTCCTCTAGCTCATATAGTGGGTTGTACTAAGCCCGTTCTTCATATACATACTTCAAGCTTCTCCTTAGGTAAAGACTGTTAACATATCTAATCCATTCTCATTGGTATGTACATTTTCCAAGTGCAATTCTTTCATCTCAAATACATTACGAATCTAGTGATATCTAACATCAATATGCTAAGATCTAGAATGATATGTTGAATTCTTGAAGAGGTGAATGACACTCTAACTATTACAATAAACAGTATATCCTTTTTGTTTCAAGCTCAATTCCTATAGAAACTTTTTCATCTACAAAGCTTCCTTATAGGCTTTAATAAATGTTATATATTTTGCTTCTATGGTTGATAGAGCAACACAATTATATAACTTAGACTGCCAAGAGACTGCTCCCCCTGTAAATGTCATTAAGAATCCCAAAGTGAACTTCCTAGAATCAGTATCACATACCATATCTGTATCTATGTACCCCTCTAGCATAGGTTCATCACTGCCAAAATATAAACACAACCTAGAAGTACCTCTTAGATATCTTAATATCCATTTCACTACTTCTTAATGTTTCTTACCAGGATTAGAGAGAAATTGACTACAACTCTAATTACATGAGCTATGTCTGCCCTAGTACAAACTATAGCATACATCAAAATGCCTACTGCAGATGAGTAAGACACTCTGGATATTTTTTCTTTTTCTTTCTCACTTGTGAGACATTGTTTTGAACTAATCTTGAAATGACCTACAAGTGAAGAACAAACTGCTTTGGCTTTACTCATGTTAAATCTTTCAAGAACTTTTTAATGTAGGTCTCCTAAGATAGCCAAATCTTTCCTTTCTTCCTATCACGAAGAATCTTAATGCCAAGTATTTATTTCACCGATCCCAAGTCTTTCATGGCAAAAAACTTACTTAGCTCACTTTTAAGCTTCTCAATTTTACCAGCATCATGGCCAATAATCAGCATATCATCAACATATAGCAGAAGAATAATTAAATCATTATCTGAAAACTTCTTTGTAAACATATAATGATCAAATGTGGTTCTATTGTACCCTTGGCTCATTATAAGAAATCAAACTTCTTAAACCACTGTCTTGGTGCTTATTTGAATTCATATAAGCTTTTTCTAATCCTGCACACTAGATTTTCTTTTCCCTTGACTTTGAAAACTTCTGGCTGCTCTATGTAAATTTCTTCTTCTAAGTCACCATGAAGAAATACAGTTTTCACATTAAGTTGCTTAACTTCTAAATTCAAGAAGGCAGCTAAACCAAGAACAACTCGGATAGAGGACATTTTCACCACAAGAGAAAATATTTTCTTCAAAGTTAATACCTTTCTCCTGATTGAATCATTTCACAACTAGTTGTGCCTTGTATCTTTGTTATGAACTATTATTTTTAGTCTTTAATTTATAAACTCATTTATTCTTGAGAGCTTTCTTCTTTTTATGCAACTTTACTAAAGTCATAGGTATGATTCTTAAGTAAGGATCTCATTTTTTCTTGCATGGCTTTAACCCGCTCATTCTTATGCTCATGTAGAATAGCTTCTTGGTAAGTTTATGACTCTCTCCCATCAGTAAGCATAACATACTCATATAGAGGATATCTGGTAGATAGTTGTCGCTCTCTTGTGGAACTTCTCAATGGAATCTCAATTGGTGGTGTATGTGCTTATTCAGTTAGTTCGACATCATCAACTATAGGAGTATCATTACTGACATTCTCACAACAATCTTCTTGTTCATCTCCCCCATGATCATCATGAACTACAAGTAAAAGAACTGAACCCAAACTCTAAGAAATATAAACAGAAGTTTTTAGCTTCTCAACATTATCACCATCATCAAATAATTGGTTTTCAATAAATACAACATCTTTTCTTCTAATAATCTTCTTGTTCACTAGATCTCATAATCTATACCCAAACTCTTCATGATCATACCCTAAGAATATATATGTTTTTGCTTTATTATGAAGCTTGGACCTCTCATCTTTTAGAATATGAACTAATACTTTACACCCAAAAACTCTCAAGGGATTGTAAGATATATCTTTTCTTTTCCATACTCTCTTTGGAACATCACCTTTCAGAGAAACTAATGGAGAAATATTTATTAGGTCAACTGTAGTTCTTATAGTCTCCCCCCAAAATGACTTAGGTAACTTGGCATGGGAAAGCATACACCTAATCCTTTCTTCAATGGTTTTGTTCATCCTTTCTATCATTCCATTCTACTGAGGAGTTTTAGGAACTGTTTTATCAAGTCTGATACCATGGAACTTGTAATAACTCTCAAAAGGGCCCTTGTACTCGCCAATATATCTGCTCGAACACACTTTAGCTTTCTATAAATTTTTCTTTCAATACTGACATGAAACTCCTTGAAAATATCGAGTACCTAGTCTTTAGATTTCAAAATAAAACCCCAAACTTTTCTAGAATGATCATCAATGAAAGTAACAAAACAAAAGAGCACATCAAAGAGTTTTAGTTTGTATAGTACAAACATCAGTATAAATCAAATCAATAATATTTGATCTTCTAGATGATGGATATGTATGAAAGGCAACTCTGTATGTTTTTCCAACTAAGAAATGATAATAAGATTTAAGAGATGTACATTGCTACTCTAATAAGAACTGTTTTCTAGCAAGAGTTTGAAGTCCCTTCTCGCTGATATGACCAAGCCTCTTATGTCAAAGATCTATGCTTTCACCCTTCTGAATTGCATTAATCTCTCCTTTGTGTAGCTTAGCTTCTATGATATAAAAAAAAGTTTAGCTTATTTTCTCTCGTCATAATTA